GCGTTGGTTTGTCAGCCAGCACCTGTCAGGTTGGGAGGTAGTCGTTTTTGGACAGTTCACTCACACTACTCTTTCTCATATCATGCTGAGATCCATTTGTCTGTAACTTTACCTACTAATCTTAGTTTAACCCCCCGAGACCTTAAGAACACAGTTTTCTCATTCACTTGATGGCCTTTTAAATATTTGAAGACAGGTTCACACATTCTCAAAGTCTCTTCTTCTCTAGGTTAAATAGCTCCACTTCCTTACCTGTTTCTCCTATACTGTGCTTTTAAGTCTGTTTAGCATTCAGAAGGCTTTCTTCCATATTCCAGTTTATGTCAGTGCTCTTTTTAAACTGTGGAATTCAAACCTGGGTCCAATAGTAGCCCGAGTTTGGTCTAATTTGTGCCAAGTGTGGGACCGTTGGTACCATCATTCCCCTTGTCCTGAGTAACTTTTTTTTTATCATGAAGTACAAAGTTATATTGACTGTTTTCAGCAATGCTACCGTAGTGTTAATTCTCTGGGCTTTCTATGCACTAGAACTTTTATTGCCGTGCCTTATCTCTGCCATCTTGTCATGCTTGTATATGCTTTGCCTGCTTCCAGAAAAAATACGTAAACAAGTATCCTATTTATTAGCTATTTCCTCTAGCTTTGTAGCTTCTTCAGAATTAATCAGTTGGCTGTCTTGATCCTAATGAAAGTCCTTGATGAGTAGGGTGAGTCCTTGAACAGAAGAGGGTGGATAGCAGAGCCATGTGGGATACCACCCAACAACTCCTTCAACCTGGACACCGTTATGTGATTTTTGGTTGGAATCATTTCAGCAGCTGTAACTAACCATGCTGTCAACACTTGACTGTCCTGTCTTCCTGCCCACACGTCTCTGTCTTGTTCACGTATATCAGTTGCTTTGCTCAGATCCATATATGTTATTTCAGAGAGCTCCCAAGTTTACTAGTGGAGTTAAAGAGCCTTTTAAAATCTTCCTAACCTTTCTATGTGAGCCAGTGGAATTGAACACTCTTAATACTGGCGAGTGAAACAGAGAAAAGGAGCCGACTTGCTAGGTGTTTATGCAGAGGAGGAAGTGGCGCCCACCTGCCATCTCCTGTCCTCTGATACCTGGTCCGGAAGCAGATCTCTGTCCCGGTGCAGGGGCTCTTCCCCTGGGTGAATGTGCGGGTAGGGGAGGTGCTGCCTCCCAGTCATGGGCTCGGTCCTCTCACATGCTCTCCTCCTCCATCCATCTCAGCCCAGCTTCCCCAGAGCAGGTATTTCTTTGGGTTTCTTTCCTTCTGAGACCCGCTTAGAAGAGTTGGACTTTAAAAAAAAACAAAACAAAACTTACTTTTAATTGAAGGATAACTGTTTTACAATATTGTGCTGATTTCTGCCGTACGTCAACATGAATCAGCCATAGGTATACACATGTCTCCTCCCTCTTGAAGCCCCCTCGAACTTCCCACCCCTTCCCACCCCTCTAGCTTGTCACAGAGTCCCGGTCTGAGTTCCCTGGATCATATAGCAAATTCCCGTTGGTCATCTGTTTTACAAATGGTCGTTGTATATGCTTCCACACTACTCTCTCCATTCATCCCACCCTCTCCTTCCTCCCCATAGTCCGTGTCCATAAATCTTTTCTTCTATGTCTGCATCTCCATGGCTGCTCTGCAAGTAGGTTCATCAGTACCATCTTTCTAGATTCCATACATAGGTGTTAATATACAATATTTGTTTTTCTGACTTACTTCACTCTGTATAATATGCTCTAGGTTCATCCGCTTCATTAGAACTGACTGAAATGCATTCCTTTTTATGGCTAACATTCCACTATATATGTACCACAAATTCCTTAGCCATTCATCTGTTGATGGACATCTAGGTTGCTTCCATGTCCTGGCTATTGTAAATAGTGCTGCAGTGAACATTGGGGTACATGTGTCTCTTTCAGTTTTGGGGTTCCTTGGGGTATATGCCTAGTAGTGGGATTGCTGGGTCATATAGTAGTTTTATTTCTTGTTTTTAAAGGAATCTCTGTACTGTCTTCCATAGTGGTTGTGTCAGTCTGCATTCCACAAACAATACAAGAGGTTCCCTTTTCTCCACACCCTCTCCAGTATTTATTGTTTGTGGATTTTTGATGATGGCCATTCTGACTGGTGTGAGGTGATATCTCATTGTAGTTTCATTTGCATTTTTCTAATAAAGAGCAATGTTGAGCATCTTTTCATGTGTTTATTTGTCATCTAAGAGACACGGGTTCAATCCCTGGGTCAGGAAGATTCCCTGGAGAAGGGCATGGCAACCCACTCCAGTATTCTTACTAGAGAATCACATGGACAGGTGAGCCTGGCAGCCTACAGTCCATAGGGTCACAAAGAGTTGGACACAACTGAAGTGACTTAGCACATTAGTCATCTGTGTATCTTCTTTGGAGAGGTGTTTAAGTCTTTTGCCCCCTTTAAAGAAAAAAATATTTATTCTTTAATTGAAGGATAGTTGCCTTACAGAATTTTTCTGTTTTCTGCCAAATATCAACATGCATCAGCCATAGGTATACCTGTGTCCCCTTCTTGAACCTCCCTCCCATTCTCTCCCCATCGCACCCCTCTAGGCTGATACTGAGCCCCTGTTTGAGTTTCCTGATCCATACAGCAAATTCCCATTGGCTATCTATTTCACATATGGTAATGTAAGTTTCCATGTTACTCTCAACATACATGTCACCCTCTCCTTCCTCCGCTCCATGCCATGTCCTTTTCTATGTCTGTTTCTCCATTGCTGACCTGCAGATAAACTCATCAGTACCATCTTTCTAGATTCCGTGTATATGCATTAGTATACAATATTTACCTTTCTCTTTCTGGCTTACTTCACTCTGTATCACAGACTCTAGGGTCATCCACCTTATTAGAACTGACTCAAATGCATTCCTTTTTATAGCTGAGTAATATTCCATTGTATATATTAACCACAGCTCCTTTATCCATTCATCTGTCAATGGATGTCGAGATTGCTTCCATGTTCTAGCTATTGTGAATGTGCTGCAATGAACATTGGGGTGTTGTCTCTTTTTCAGTTTTGATTTCCTCAAGGTATATGCCTAGTAGTGGGATTGCTGAGTCATATGGTGGTTTTATTCCTAGCTTTTTAAGGAATCTCCATACCATCTTCCATAGTTGCCCACTTTTTGGTTGGGATGTTTTTCTGGTATTGAATTTTATGAGCTGTTTGTATATTCTGGAAATTAATTGTTTGTCAGTTGTTTCAGTTGCTATCATTTTCTTACATTCTGAAGATTGTCTTTTCACCTTGTTCATAGTTTCCTTTGCTGTGCAAAAGCTTTTAAATTTAATTAGGTCCCACCTGTTTGTTTTTATTTCCATTACTCTGGGAAGTGGGTCATAGAGGATCTTGCTATTATTTATGTCATACAGTATTCTGCCTGTTTTCCTCTAAGAGTTTTATAATTTCTGGTCTTACATTTAGGTCTTTAATCCATCTCTAGTTTTTCTTTGTGTGGTATTATGAAGTGTTCTAATTTCATTCTTCTAACATAGCTGTCCAGTTCTCCTGGCACCACTTATTGAAGAGACGGTCTTTTTCCCATTGTAAGCCTCTGTTGTCAAAGATAAGGTGCCCGTAGGTGTGTGGGTGTATCTCTGGGCTTTGTGTCTTGTTCTATTGGTCTATGTTTCTGTTTTTGTGCCCAGTACAATACTGTCTTGATGACTGTAGCTTTTTTGAAAAGTATTGTTAAGCTTTATTTTGCATAAGGAGATACAGTTTAGTAATTTTTTTTTTTAATTTATGGCCTGATCTCTTAATTCTGTCTTAATTCTTTTTCTCCACATGGTGCATTCTGAGTTAAAACATGTTCTTTATAATGTTTTCTTCTTTTTCCTAAGTAACCATTTTTTAGTAATTTATTTATATATGCGCTGATACCTTCTCTGCTTTCCTCCACTGACAATTCTGTCTGCCATCATTAGAATTTATGCCTGTGCTTGCCTCGTGGGTGAGTTCTTTGTCTAACACACAAACACCCTCTTAAATGAGTGAGCCCTTGTCTTTTTCATTCCTTTGATCTGATAATCTGATTTTTTTAGAAAAGGAAATGAGAATAGCCTGGTGTGGCTTGTTTTTACGAATAGATGTGGATTCATAGAAGTCACTGGTCATCTTCTTAGGTTACTCCCATCTCTAGTAAATACTTGATTTGTTATCTTGCCTGCATTGACATCACACTCATTGCTGTATAGGTTTTGGAGTCTTTCACCCTCTCACTTTTGAACATCAAGACTACATTTGCCCATTTCCGGTGTCAGTTCTGTTCTTTAAAAAGAGTAGTGATCGCAACTTGACCAGGACCTCTGAGTGCTCCTACTAGAGATGCTGTGCTGTTTCCTTCCACCTCCTGGGCTGTGCACAGTTCCCTCTTATCTTGTGTATTTCTCTTTCCAGCATGAAACTTGTGCTGGTGAAGATAGAAACAATCCTGTAGCTCTACTTTTTCTTTATTTTCAACATGGCATTTCTAAAGCATAGAACAGTGTTTGACACACAGTAAGTGCTTAATAAATGGTGAAAGACTGAATGAATTCTTTGTAAGCAGCAGACTTATCCCTTTTCTGTTGTTGTTGTTTTTTTTTTTCTTTTTCCCCTCCATGCTTTAAAGCCTTGCTATTCAAAAAGTAGTCTGAGGACCAGCCCCTTTGATATCACCGGGAGCTTGTCTTAAATGCAGAATCTCAGGCCCCACCTACTGAATTAGAATCTGCCTTTTAACAGGATTTTCAAGTGATTCCTGTGTATGCTGCCTTTGAGAAGCACTGATCTAAAGCATAACTTCAGCCTCAAGCAGAACTTTAGGAGCCTTTCCTGTTATTCTAGTACTAACCACCCCCCACCATAGTTCGTTTGTCTAGATAACACATTTTATCTAGTGAATTGTAGAAAACCAACATTTACATTTGGCCCATTTTAATCCTTTTTTTTTTTTTAAATAGTTACACTTACTGGTGGACACCAGAGGTAATAAAACATTTACCACTGCCTTATGATGAAGGTAGGTATGCTGTTTCTCCTTTAGTTTGTATGCCAGTCTATTTAGAAATTATTCTTAAATGATGTTGAAGCATTCTTTTCATATAACATTTTATTAGAAAAAAAATGAAAGACTATTCAGTGTTATGTTGATGTTATAATAGATAGGAGGATTATAACATCTTAGCTTTTTTTAAAGGGTAGAGATTGTATTATACTTCTTTTGTCTAAATAGGCCAATACCTTGTATTGTGTCTTACCAGTTATCAGGTATGTTACTCAGATGTTTAGTGGATATATTATTTTATCATTTAAAATTAGTACTTAATATATTCCTACATATTTGGGGGGAATAGGGAGGAAGTGAGGACCCATTCACAAGGAGAAATGAAAACTCTCCCTATATCTAAGCCATGAAAAAAGGTACAGATGTATGTATAAAACTATATTTTAGTCACTGAAGATTAAATTATATATTAGTTTGTCAGAAAGGCAGGAAAGTTTTTACATTCAAAGAATACCTTAAAATGTATTTTAACATATTAGAACAATGTTTCCAAAGTTAAATAATTGACCAGTTTGAAATAGTTTATTTTTGATTCTATTATTGATTCTTCCGACCGTGGACAAGCCAATTTTCTCAATTGTGAAAGGATATGACGATCTATTGCCAATCTGGAACGCTCCAGTTGAAGATTCCATCTAGTCACGTTTGACCATCCCATTTTTGGATGGTATGGTGAAGGCCATAGATTGAAAATGAGTTCTTAACAAATTATTAATTAGCTTTTAAAAAGCATTTGTTAACCTTGAAATTCTGGGTAAAATCATAAATCATACTGCTGCTAAGAAGATTCAGTTGTTCTGGGAAAAAAGATAGGAATTTAACAACCTAATGTTGCCCATAATAAAGAAGATTTGAAATATAGTGGAAAATTTAATAAAATAGCTGCACAGTGTTTCTCTCTAAGGCAGAGGGTGTTTATTGAAGAGAGAAATGGAATTTAAAGAATTGAGTGATTCAATTTCTTAAATAATTTCCCACTCCCACCCCAGCTCCCAAAGGTTTCCGCCTCCTTAGAGATTGTCTTGCTCAGCTTTGCAGTGTATATTCCGTGCACACATCTGGTTTCAGTTCCAGGCGTGTAAGTGCCAGAGGCACAGTCTGAGCCTTGTTCAGTGTACTCTCTGTGAACATAGTTGACATTACAGAAATGTTTATGAGATGTAATCTGAAGACTTTTAAGAGTAACAGGCAGTATCTCTCTCAGTTATCTGTGCTGCAAACTTAAAGAAGTTAGTAGTGAAGAAATTTCACAAATATGAAGAGGAGATTGACATCCACAATGAGTTCTTTCGACCATACGAGCTGAGTAGCTTTGATGACACCTTTTGCTTGGCTATGACGAGTTCAGCACGGTATGTTGTGAATTCTCTGAAACTGGAAGCATTGGGAACTGTGGTTTTCCTAGTTTGTTTAGCTGTGTCTTCCTTTACTGTTCTGCATGCCTGCTACAGGTGGTTGTCCAACCTCTGAAATTCCTTCTGCAATTGGGAGCCCATTACTCAGGAGACAGTCCTTCTATTGTTGGACAGCTCTCCATCCTGGTCTGTTACCTTTGAACATATGTCATTTTTCTGTCTCTTTTGGACTTTAATGGGGCCTTTTAGGAAAATTATGGGCCTAGATTAAGAAAATTAGGCTCAGAAAAATCAGCTTTTGATCATTATGTTTTATACTAAAGTTTGCATTCTTGTATTTACCTTTTGTGTTTCACATTTTCTTCAAATGTGATCTCTGTGTGCCTAAACTTAATATAGTACATGTTGAAACATATTTCATGGTTTGTTTCCTAGAAATCACTCTACGTTTTGCTTTTGTTTCAGACAGAAAGTTTGGAATTTTTACTTGCTTGATTTTCAGTTATACTTGTTAAAGTTTAGCAGTTTTAACTGTGAGGTTATTGCCATTTTCCTTTGGGTTATACATAAATTTTAGTGAGTAGCAAATTCTCAAATATATCATCCATAAATCATGAGGATCAACTGAGTAGTTCAAAAAGAAAGAAAAATTAAACCACTTACATTTCAAAGGAACATTTTCAAACTGTTAAGTAGGCATTTTGAGTCAGATTCAATATTACTTTCTTCTCCTTCAAAAAATGTAATATTGAGTCACATGCTTGGAGCAGTATCCTTGCCAGAAGTTATGAGTCTTATCTGCATAAATCATGTAACCATTGCTTCTTTGGCATCTATTAAGGAGTTTTGTCTGGCTTCAGCAGTAATAGTAAGGTAGCCCTTGTATCATGAGGAAGTAGCTTCAGCTTATCACAGTAAGTGGTAAATTAACAGTTTCTATTTAAAGTGTTCCAGTGTTATAATGAATTAACTCCAGACTAATGAGACAGATGTTGATACTTCAGTTCATACCACTGTGTTTTTGATAACTGTGTCTGCCTCCGTAGGTGGTATAGTGTAATAAAAACATTGTCCATAAAACCGAGCAGCTTAGTATCTTGCCATCAGTTTTATGAGTTTAATTTTACTTGAAAATGAATCATGATATACAACCAGAGATGCATCTTAGTAGTAATTCAGATATCAACTCTGCTCCAGAAAACAAAATCTTGAATTCAAAATGTTGGGCCTCTTAATCAGAGAAAATTCACAGTGAAGACTGCCAACATTGAACTTACCAAGTGCCATTAATTCATGGGGTCTTATGGCCCGGATCACCTAAAGTCCCTTGAGTATTTCACTTAGAATACACATACCTCTGAAGGCTAAGAAGGAATAGTATAAGAATGTGGATAGAGAGGGAAGCTGATATCATCTGGATGAACAGTGATTCACATGGAATTTTTTTCCCCTTTCTTCAGTGACTTCATGCCTAAGACCGTTGGTATTGATCCAAGTCCGTTTACTGTACGTAAGCCAGATGAAACTGGAAAATCAGTATTGGGGTAAGATTTCCTTGTAGAATAAAATTTTAAAGATTCAAATCAAAATAATGTAGCACTTTCAATATAATTTTCACCCAAAACTAATAACTTAAAGTCATATAGTTTAGAGCATGGTACATACACTGCATCTATGGGCGTGCTAAGTCACTGCAGTCATGTCTGACTCTCTGTGACCCCATGGACTATAGCCTGCCAGGCTCCTCCATCCATGGGATTCTCCAGGCACAAATACTGGAGTGGGTTGCCATTTCCTCCTTGAGCGAATCTTTCTGACCCAGGGATAGAACCTGCATCTCTTTTGTCTCCTGCATTGGCAGGTGGGTTCTTTACCACTAGCACCACCTGAGAAGCCCACTGCATCTATACAGGTAGCTTATATATAGCACTGGGATTATTAAAACATGTTTGACACTGAAAGTTGAATTTATGGGAATTTTTGCAACACAGTACATTTTACTTAAATTAGGAATTTCGTAGATGGCATAAAGTTAGGTAACAGATGTTTATGTATGTCCTTTAACAACTCCACATCCTCTGTTTCCCACAACATAAAAGACTTATGTAAAAATGTATATTCATTTGTGTTTATTATTTGCTGGCATCCTGAGAAAACATTAAAGCAAATGCTCAGACAGAGGACTTAATGGATTTTCTGTGTATTACGTTAACATTGTGCGGGGGATGACTGTTATTTTATTGTATACAGTAGTATGAGGAGGAGCAGAAACCATGTTTAAATCTTTATGCTTTGAGACTGGAATGAAATGTGTCCTAGTGTATGCATCTCTGTTACTGCAGCTGACCTGAGTGGTCCCAGTGATGAGCATTCTCCTAGGCCCTTGAGTCTTATCTGCATAAATCATGTAACCATTGCTTCTTTGGCATCTATTAAGGAGTTTTGTCTGGCTTCAGCAGTAATAGTAAGGTAGCCCTTGTATCATGAGGAAGTAGCTTCAGCTTATCACAGTAAGTGGTAAATTAACAGTTTCTATTTAAAGTGTTCCAGTGTTATAATGAATTAACTCCAGACTAATGAGACAGATGTTGATACTTCAGTTCATACCACTGTGTTTTTGATAACTGTGTCTGCCTCCGTAGGTGGTATAGTGTAATAAAAACATTGTCCATAAAACCGAGCAGCTTAGTATCTTGCCATCAGTTTTATGAGTTTAATTTTACTTGAAAATGAATCATGATATACAACCAGAGATGCATCTTAGTAGTAATTCAGATATCAACTCTGCTCCAGAAAACAAAATCTTGAATTCAAAATGTTGGGCCTCTTAATCAGAGAAAATTCACAGTGAAGACTGCCAACATTGAAGTTACCGAGTGCCATTAATTCATGGGGTCTTATGGCCCGGATCACCTAAAGTCCCTTGAGTATTTCACTTAGAGTACACATACCTCTGAAGGCTAAGAAGGAATAGTATAAGAATGTGGATAGAGAGGGAAGCTGATATCATCTGGATGAACAGTGATTCACATGGAATTTTTTTCCCCTTTCTTCAGTGACTTCATGCCTAAGACCGTTGGTATTGATCCAAGTCCGTTTACTGTACGTAAGCCAGATGAAACTGGAAAATCAGTATTGGGGTAAGATTTCCTTGTAGAATAAAATTTTAAAGATTCAAATCAAAATAATGTAGCACTTTCAATATAATTTTCACCCAAAACTAATAACTTAAAGTCATATAGTTTAGAGCATGGTACATACACTGCATCTATGGGCGTGCTAAGTCACTGCAGTCATGTCTGACTCTCTGTGACCCCATGGACTATAGCCTGCCAGGCTCCTCCATCCATGGGATTCTCCAGGCACAAATACTGGAGTGGGTTGCCATTTCCTCCTTGAGCGAATCTTTCTGACCCAGGGATAGAACCTGCATCTCTTTTGTCTCCTGCATTGGCAGGTGGGTTCTTTACCACTAGCACCACCTGAGAAGCCCACTGCATCTATACAGGTAGCTTATATATAGCACTGGGATTATTAAAACATGTTTGACACTGAAAGTTGAATTTATGGGAATTTTTGCAACACAGTACATTTTACTTAAATTAGGAATTTCGTAGATGGCATAAAGTTAGGTAACAGATGTTTATGTATGTCCTTTAATAACTCCACATCCTCTGTTTCCCACAACATAAAAGACTTATGTAAAAATGTATATTCATTTGTGTTTATTATTTGCTGGCATCCTGAGAAAACATTAAAGCAAATGCTCAGACAGAGGACTTAATGGATTTTCTGTGTATTACGTTAACATTGTGCGGGGGATGACTGTTATTTTATTGTATACAGTAGTATGAGGAGGAGCAGAAACCATGTTTAAATCTTTATGCTTTGAGACTGGAATGAAATGTGTCCTAGTGTATGCATCTCTGTTACTGCAGCTGACCTGAGTGGTCCCAGTGATGAGCATTCTCCTAGGCCCTGGCCAGACTGTGGATTCTGAGTCCTAATTGTATTTGGGAGTGTGTACAGGGTCTTAATTGGATTCTGACTACATGTGTGATTTATACAGTGAGATATATATTGATATTACTGTTTCCCAGATACACCACTTATGTGGCTTAAATATGTGTCCTGGACCAGGTGCTATGAAGAATTTAAAAGAAGGAACATCCTCAAGACATTTAGAATTTATAGAGTTCCTGGGACAAATACATAAATGACCATTTATTTTAGTGTATAGTGCTGAAATGTATCAACTTTAATTTTCAGTTTCATAAAGTCAGAAATGAATTTATTTTCTGTAATAGCTAACCCATGGTTAGATAGTATTACATATTTATTTTCTAGAAAATGTAGAATATTATATTTCAAGTCACTTACAGAGAATTTTTTCAAGTAAGAATATTAAATAAATTAAATATTTTTCATAAAAGCCAAAAATATTACCATATTTTTTTTAATTAAGAAAAAAACAGTATTCTGACTACTCTCAAATTTGGCACTGAAATAAAAGCAAATAATGTGTACTTTTTTCTGTTCCCCCCATCCACTCCCTATTATTAGAAGATATCTTCAGCAAACATAGTTATTTACTAATTGTTTTAAAACAGTTTAAAATCTTAGTTTATGTTCATCAGTTGCTCATTACTTTGGTGCAAGTAATCCGCTGCCACTTTGATTGATAAAAATTCATAGAAGGGCCAGAAATACACATGGATTTGGCTATTGACCATCTCTTGATGCTTCTACAATTTATAGGTAATTTCACTAATATCCCAAACATAACAGTCTTGTTCTATAAATTTTGAAAATCCTAATTTCAGTTACCAAAGGGGAAGACACAGTAGCCAAGTGGTAGAAAGGCTTTTCTGCACACTGCAAGCACATACTTGCTTATTTTCTGAATTCATAGCAAAGCTTAAATTCACAGGTCAGTACATGTACATGATAAAATATTAAACTTTTCCCTTCAGCACAACTTGAATCCAGGCGCTCGCTTCTCACAGTAATTTTCTTAACACTTCTCCAGGACTGAGGCTTTGGGTCAGAGTGACACGCGGTGAGCATCTAGGGTTCAGTTTACAGATGCTTCACACCCACATTCCTCTTTTTAAAGAAACAAGAGCAACAGGGAAGAAGCTGTGTTACAGCGGAAGACGGCTGCCAGCGCCCCACCGCCGCCCAGCGAGGAGGCCGTGTCCAGCAGCTCGGAGGACGACTCGGGGACCGACCGGGAGGAGGAGGGCTCCGTGTCCCAGCGCTCCACGCCAGTGAAGATGACCGACGCGGGCGACAGCGCCAAAGCGACAGAGGTGAGGGCCCGGGACCGGGTGCCGTCCAGTGAGGCTCTGGACAGCCAGCTCCAGAATCCCGCTTTCAGCTAAAAGGCTGAGAGCCAGCAAGAGGCACATCACCTCACTCCACCGTCCTCACGCGCGGTGGTGGAGGTGCTGCAGAGACGAGTGCATTTGGCAAACATATTACTGAAAATGGTTTCTGAAATCGGTGTTTTTGCTTCCACGTGTAATAGTAACTTTCTTGTCACTTCAGAATTCTTATAGAGAATCCTGTCCCTCTTGGAGCAACCCATCCACTTGAGGTCCATTTGTTCCCTTGCTCAGCACATTACGGGAATGCAGGGTTTGCCCCTGGGCCTCACAGTCTCTGCCTAATCCCAGTGGGAAGTTCATCCTCTTGAATTTGATATTGACAGTATATTGAGGGAAAACAAAAGGCAAGTGAACAATAGAAAAATCAAATTAAGCTTTAGGGGAACTGGATTTCTAGAAAGATCCAGAAGTCATTTGAGGTAGACATGACAAATAAGATGTAATGATATGGGAACTAAGTCCGTTATTCTGGGCATTGGCAAAGTGCAGCCTATTGGCCAAAGCAGCTTGCTGCCATTTTTTCTAAGTAAAGTTTAATTTACAACCAGCCATACCTATTTACAGCCATACCAATTTGTTTATATGTTATCTATGGTTGCTTTCACCCTGTAACAGCAGAATTATGCAGCTGTGGCAGAGACGATGTGACCCAAAGAACCTAAAGTATTTATTGCCTGACCCTTCACAGAAAATGTTTGCCAACTCTTGTATTATACAAAAGCAATTAGTAATTACCAAATAGTTTTTTATCATAAAATAAACTATTTTAGTGAAGATGAAATATAATTTTTAAAAAATCATTGACTGAGAAATTTAATGAATACGTTGAAGAAACATTGTGATGGTTTTTATGGGAAAATTCACAGGGTCGTTTTCTTCATTTTTGGAAATTATTAATGTGCTAGATGTCTAAGAACTCTTCCTGATTCCCTTATTTTTTGACCCCAGCATGTAGTGCAGCCCATGAAAGAGGTGTATGGAATCAACCTCTCAGATGGCCCCTCAGAAGAAGATCTTTCCATTTATTTAAGGTAAGGTATTTTCAAGAGAAATTAAGGACAAATGCAAATGTATTACAATAACTTATGTCTAATATAACTTTTAAAAATTGAAAGTAGTCAACCATACAGAAGGAAGTGAATGCCACTTGGAATAGTAGCATTTAGGTCAGATTCTGAAACAACTTACGTTTGGAGTTAAAAAGCCTACTTACTGCCTGAGACTCTTGGGCCTCTGAATGATAAACGTTTATGATACTTAACACGTATTTTCACTGCCCAAATATAAACTGCAAACTGAAGTTCACATGCATTTCTGCATTCCTGCATTAACGAATTCTCAAGATCAAGTACCTTCTTACAAAACGAACCTGGGATATTGGCAGTTGAGGACTTTGTATTCAATTAGCTTGGGGTGGGCGGAGGGTGAGGATGTGGTGCTGGTGAGAGTGGTGACTGAGGAGGAAAAAGGAAGCAGTGATGTAAAGGGACCAATTCAGAGTGTTATAGACTTTTATTATGAACATCTAGCTAAAAGGTGGAAATCTACCAAAAGGTATCCATAAAATCACGTACATAAAAATGTGTCTGTGTGTGTTTGCAGAGAAGATTAATAGTTATCAGATTCTCTAAAGAATTCCTCACCCCCAAATCCTCAAAAACCTGATGATTAAACATCCATTTAAACACCCTCTCAACCTAGTATTAATATATGTATTAAGAATTCTTAATTATTTCAAATGAACATGGTCCCACTTATGTAAGTTTGGCTTACATAAAATGTAATATGAATGAGTACTAGTCTTCAGGTCTTTTTTAAGGAGGGTATTTGTTTTGCAGAATCCATTGAGCTGATTATTTTTCTACTTCAAATTAGTAAGATCTGCTGTAGAATATGTAAAATATAGAAATAAATAGCATTTCTTAACTGCAGAAGCACTGGTATAGCTATGTATCACTGTCCTACTGGAAGTCAACTGAGTCAGAACTCAGCCACACCCTCCTCACTCCTGGACACACAGTACATTCACAATAGCTGTCACACTCTGTCACTCAACTTTCATAGTAGTTGAAGTAGACCTCTGTAAGCAACATGGTCTGGAAGAATGAATTATCTGGAGTTAGTGACTAACATGACACTACTTACTGCAGAGAGCATAAGTATGTATGTCACTTGCTGTTCACTTGCTGAAGATGAAAGTTGGACAAGACTAAGCTAAAAGTTTTTCATAGCACTGTAATGATTTAATAATTGGTAGTTTCTGAAGCACTTTTCCTGACCTTGAAAAAACCTAATAAAAACTACAGGCTGCATCCCTGAGAGTAAGATGGATGCATGGAGTACAGGCCACACTTCAGATGGGTGTACTTGAGAAATATCAGTGGCCCATTGCTAAGTGGGCATCCTCTCACCTTGCTGAGTGGGCCTGAGGCCTGCTTTGGCCCTTAGCTGCAAGTCCAGATTAGTGCTGTTGGAGGCTTCTCTAAGGAGGGCTGGTGGGCCAGTGATGTTCAGCAGGTGGTCTCCTCAGTCCCCTCTATCTCTGTTGAAAGTACCCTTAGTAGTGGCTGGTGTATGCGTGGGGATTCCTGTGGTCCTGAGGAACCAAGTCCTTGTCCTGGGTTCTTAGCAGCATCCTTGCTTCAGGAGATGGATCTCTAGCCTGGATCCTGCCGTTTCCTTGTCATTTGTCTCACTGCAAGCACCATCCCCCTCCCCTTGTTTCCCTCTGCTTCCTGCTGTGGTCACCCTCAGATACGCAAGGGCTTACGGTCATCTTCCTGGCTTCAGGAACATTTCGGCTCGGGTTCTCGATCACGTTTGAGTAAACAGAATGCAGCAAAGTAAACGTTTTCTTTCATTTGTACATCCATGGTCATGACTTAAATTTTCAGCAGCTCCTCCTCCTCTACGTCTCATAAACCCGCTCTGACATCGGGCAGTCATTTACAAAGCACGTCTTGTGGCGCGGCTTTTCTGATAGAAGTATATTACTGTCATTCGCACACCCGTACAATTTGTGTGATCTACTGAATTTGTGGCGGGTAGTTCCTTTAGCTTACTTTTTTATACATTTGTATTTTACATTTTATAATTTGTAGATTTGTGCAGCTGGGGCAGAGTCAACATAAACAAGACAAGAGCAGCCAGCAGTTCTGTTCCAGGTGCCCAGATGGAGTTATAAAATTGTAAGTACTAGGTCAGACCTTGTAAAAATAATCTTTGTATTCATGTCTTTAAGACTTTGTAAGAGAAATATTGTGACCAAATCAGTATAAGCACTAAAGCGTCTCCTCCTGGTATCCTGTTCGAGAACTGGGTATTTATGGGGATGCGGAAGAGGCTGGCAGCCTGACCTGTGCTTGAAATACATCCTTTAGAAATGGGATTGAAGTTGCTGGGGGATTCCCTCCAGTGGGTAGGGCCAGGATGAAAAAACATCTCTGACCCTGGAGTCAAGCTCCTCAAGTTCACTACAAGACCGCTGAGGGCAGGAGTGGTTTGTCTTTTCTAGCACTGTATCTTCACCAGTTCTTTTAACTTGCTGTTTAGTAAATTAAATAAACACTCTGCCACTTTTTGGGTTTTTTTACCTTGAGCAAGTAATTTTAAGTCCTGTGTAGCTCAGTTTCTTTATCTGCAAATGTGATAATAATTCCTGCTTCATAGGAGGGTGGTGACACGTTTAATGAGATAATGCATACAAAGTGCTTAGATCCATGTCTGGAATGTGATCTCATGTTGTGATCATCACCATCATCACATTCTTCTTTGTATTTATCATTGTTCTATGCTTTTTGGGACCAAACAAAGCAGGGGTTGTGACCAGGAGTGGCTCCCTAATGCCGTGTGCTCAGCTGAGTTTCTTTTATGAAAATGGGTCACTGTGGTGATTAAGTGAGATGGAATATGTAATGCATCTAGATCAGTGTCTGGCATAGAGCTGACATTTAGTAAATGTTCTCTTCCCTTTTCTTAGTCCAACTTTGTCAGTTAGTTTAATAAACCATTGATACTGATTGCCCGACTTCTGTCTGTACTATATCTGTGTGTTCCTGATTGTTAAAAGGCTACTATAGTGATCCAGGCAAAGATTGGTGTCTTAGAGAGTAGTGGCTGGGAGAATTTTGGAAATGGGATGACTCTTGGAAATGTTTAGGAAGTGAAATAGATAGAGAGGAGTTGAATATGGAAAAAAGGCCTTACCAAGGATGGTCGTTAGGTTTTTTGGTTTGTGCGGTAGGTTTGATTGATTGATTCATTCATTCATTCACTTAGCAAATAGGTACTTAATACCTATTAGGACCTGCCATTTATCAAGATAAAGAGCACTATAGGAGAACCCCATTTGCCTTTAAAGGGGGAACCAAAGTGGCCATGTTTAGGAGGCAGTTGAATCAACTGAACTCAGAAAAGAGGCTCTGGGATTGTGAATGCATATTGATGGTAACTGAAGCCATTGGTCAAAGATGACACCACTTAAGAGAATAGCAGACTGAGAAGATCTACAGGTGAGTCTTAAGGGGATCTGGGTTTAACACTGAGAAGAGACACAGAGATGGCTAATCAGAGAAGGGGAAGGAAAACCGAGATTATTTTATCACAGCCTCCAAAAGGTCTATTTATCCCTTCTTTCTCTCCTCTGTCATTATTCTTTTTTTTCTCTTTTTAAAAACATAAGAGCTCATTAACTTAGAAACAGGTTTTCTCTCTTAGGTCTAGTTGGAGGGAATATAGCATACAAAATAAAAGAAAAACATTTTCCCATTTCCATCAACATTGTGTCTATCTACTTTGATCTGTAACTGGTCTTGCTAATACATTACTTTTAAATTCTTTTTCTTACAGTATTTAGTATTTGCCTTTCTGAGTGTTAGCACAGATTAAAAAAACCACGTGGATCTCGAATTTTTTTAACCTTTTCTACTTAATTAGTAAAGAATCTAACATGAGTGTCTTTGCACAGCATCTTCAGCAGGATAACAAAGAGCTTGGTAGGCTTTGTATTATGTTGTCATGGTAACTGCTCAAGAGTGTTGTTTTTTGGTGTGTGTGTGCGCGCGCGCATGCGGTGTGTGCACTTGCTTTAAATTGAAACTCTGTAACTAGGTTCTTAAAATGTCAGCTATTCAATTTTAGATTTTTAAAGCTGTGCCAAAACCAAGAGAAATTAGACTTATGTGAGATGCTCCAAATTCTCATCTTGTTATGGTTCAGGTTCTAGTATATTTTAAAATATAGCAAGTTTATTTTAAGTTTATATACATTTGTGCCTACTGATCTCTGGACAATTCATAATCTTATCAGTTTTTCTTGAAATTATGAGGCAAACCAGTACTTCTTTTCTAAATGAGGTATGTAACAACCAATATAAAATATATTGACAGTGAACAACTGTCAAGGAGCCAGTGGACCAGGAGCTCCTGAAGCAGGGGTATGGAAAACTGGATGGAGGCGCTGAACATGGTCACCCATGCTCTCACAGGACATTTCTTAGGAGCGGATCTTAAACCCCAAACTGGTCAGTGTCTGCACTGTCAGCCCAAACACTCACAGTTACATCCTCTTTGAGTGTGACCCTCCCTTTGACTCATGGCACTTCCTCAGTGTGTGGGTGGTGATTAGGGAAAAATGACATCAGGCAACATTTTCTGAGCAGTGTGTGATGGGCGCTGTTCTAAGTACCTTAACCTGTATCAACTCACTTCTCACAGTAACTCTAGGAAGTCGGTCTTAACTATCGTCTTCATTTTACAGGTGGGAAAACCCCACAGAGAAGTTAAATGACTTGCCCAAGGTCAAACAGCAGCTGACATTCAAACCCAGACGAGCTGGCTGTCCATCACTAAGCTGTAAGTGCCTAGTGTTACCAACTGCTTTTATAACCATAGTGGTAGAAATACTGGGTTATTAGTGTGAACAGACTTTATTTTGATCCTCTGACATGATCTGGTTTATAGGCAGCTCCAGATTCAAACATAGTGTTTCTGCCCTGTTGAGCTTGAACTTTTTTTTTTTTTTAATATCTAAAGAGAATATGCCTTTATTCTTTTCCTGGTCCCAAGCATATTGTCTCAAATGTAGACTTGCTTCCTGGGCAGGCACACTTTGCTTGATTCATAACATGGTATGGAGGTTAAGACGTCCTGGGAACAGTGTTACTGCTCTTGAGGGTCATTGCCATCCTAAGCTGTAAGTTCCCCTGCTGCCTCTTGAATTGTACCTAAACTGAGTGCTCAGTAAATGTCTGTTGAGATGTACTGACTCTCACTACCCCCCATTACTATCCGAGTATGCGTGGGGTGCCGTGAGCATCTCTCTCAGCCCACCTCATCCATCCTTGATCACCTGTTGTTCCCCTATTCTGCTTCTTGCTCACAGACCCTCTGCCCTCTCCTGTTTCCGTACTGCCTTCTAATAGAGGAGAAAAGTAAACACATCAAGGGTTTAACATCTCTTCCTCTCTGTCCTGCTTCCACTTGCACCCGTGACTGGATGCAGAGCGAGACAGGCCTGCAGGGAAGAGCTTGCTCTGCCCAGGCAGGTGGGGCACTGTGTTCATGCAGGACCGCCCTGTCCTCTTCGTACACTCCCAGTTCTCAGCACTTTTTAACTACGCAATATATGCCAATCAGTGGAGGTTAAGAAGAACATGAACATGTGTATTATTAGTGCCTGCTATTCCACGGCTCATCTATTCCAGGTATATGTCTCACTTGTTTAAACATTTGTCTCTAAGAAATGGTTCAAAGTATAATACATAGAGTTTGGTAAAAACTGTCTAATTTAGGATCCTTCCAATGGAGAATGAGCTAAATAACTTGTTACTGTATTAGGACCATAGGTTGAATTTATTTGCTAAGTACATCTCACAATAAGCATTTGCTGATCTTAGAGGGAATGCCCCTGGGTTTCGGCTTCGGCTAGGGGATCCTCTCACTCATCAGAGGATGCTCTTACACAGAGTCAGGGCATGTTTTCACACCCATGAAGTGAGCATGACACTAGGCCATGGTTAGCTCAACTTTGTTGACTTTCCATGGTGTCATTTTCAATGCTGTGTCTCTATATACATGTCACTCCGGGGTTCCCATCCCACCATTGATTTCATCTAGTCCTAGCAGATAATACTCTCATCTCCGCTACAGGCTAAAAAAGTATTTAATGGGTCACTCTTGTTATCTTTTCCAAACACCCAGGGGTGCAGTCTTTAAAAGTTTAAGGATTAGAGCAGGTGGGAAGCAGTGATCAATGATTAGCAGCTCATTCGCTCCATAGGAGGGAGATGATGGTGACAACAATTCCTCAGCCCAAGGAAACTAGGTTGTGACCTTTTCTCTCACCCCAGAAATTACCACAGAAATCTTTCTTTCTCTTTGACTCAGGCCTTTATTTTTCTCTCTTTAACCCTCTCTGGCTTTTCTTATATATACTTTTCTAATTATCTCTCTCTGCTTCCCCAACTCCCTGTTTACTTTACCTTCCTCTCTTTCTCCCTCTTTTTTCCTTTGCCATCCTCTCTCCAACCCCTCCAGGGTATTTTTAACTCTGTTTAGTTTTTAAAATACAGTAATCTCTACAAAACACAAATTGCTCTCCTGTATTTTAGGATAGTGCTATTCAGATTGTAATTCTAGACTCATTAGTGGGCCATGAAATTAATTTAGTAGGCTTCCACACAACAAAATGAAAAGAATCGAAACTGAACTGAGTCCAGTAGAAGGCTCTAGTGCATGGCACAGGGGTTAAGTCTTGTTTCATGAAATTTTATTTCTATACATAAATATAGCATTGTGTACCAATCTGCCACTGCAAAATGCATTTCTCACGGTGGAAAACAGTCACAGATTGAGTTTATATGTATGCACCTTTTCTGAGACCAAATGAATTAAAAATCTTAACTGTTCCCATTATCCAGGCACTTAATGAATGTTTGTTGTTGGAATGAACATGTGTGAATAATTTCTGTTTGGAATAGACAAGAGAGAGATCAGGAAGAAAAGGGATCAGAAAGAGGTGTAAGAGGTTTTCTGTGGTGTATCCAAAGTGGGTAAAGTAAATGCAGGCTTTGGAAAAATACACTCTCATTACTTACAATGAGTTGAGCACTGGGATGCCCATGCAAAGGAAGGAGGTAGCAGGAAGCTCCAGCTGAAAGTCAAAATGAAAAGCTATTAGATGTATAAAG